AATATTTTCTTGATCATTTTCAATGTATCAGGCCATTGTCTGGGATCCTGGGCTTCCTTGGGAAGTCTCAGGTCTAAGGGGTACCATATGATGAATGATGTCATCTTTAAGCACCACAGATGTTAGTCCCAAGCCCTGGGATGTCATGGAACACAGGATTTTGTCGCTACATCTTAATGTTTTCAGGAGCTGCCTCCTCTCTGAGTGAATGCTCCTGAGCCATCTCTCCACCCAGTAACTCTGGGTTTTGGGGTATCTGTTGTCTTGGTAACTGTTCTTGCTTCTGGTTTTACTAGAGCCTTGTCTCTTGAGTGCTGGGTACAGATAGAGGATCATGGTCCTCCCCAATGTTGGCTCTTAGCTTCTGTGACCTTTATTTTCTTCTATGAGTTTCCGGTTGATACGTGACCTCCCTATTGGACTATATTCTGTAGTCCAATGCTGTGGAGGATGATTTCTTCTCCTTGTGAGCATTAAGGACCTTGTTAGGTTGTTTGCAATGTCTCTTAGTGTCTTTCTTTGGGGCATAGGAATTTGTAGCTATCACCATTCTCCTGGTCCCGATATGAACATTTTCTTTCAACTTCCCCATTGTGAATTTGGTTCTAGCCATTCAACAAGGATTTGATCATGGAGCAAGGCAGGGAGGTCTGCTACTCCTGTGAGGAGTCCTCTATGACTGACTATAAGATGATGATGACTGTAGGCCTTGGACATTTTTCTGAGGTGAAACTGGCCTTCCATGTTCCTACTGTAACCTGTGTGGCTGTAAAAGTTCTTCGAATGAAGAAGAAGAACGTCTCTCTTGTTGCCAATGAAATCAGCATCATGAAATCTCTCCAGCATCCAAACATCATTAAGTTGTTTCACGTGGTCCAATCAAGAGACACCACCTACTTAGTGATGGAGCACGCATCACAGGGAGATCTTCTTTGGCACATTCTGGATCTGGGGTCCTTACAGGAGAGTGAGACACGAAGGCTGTTTACCCAGATTGTCCTTGCAATGCAGTACTGCCATGTAAACCATATTGCCCATCGAGACATTAAGGCCAATAACATACTACTCGACTGCAGGGGTAATGCCAAACTTTGTGATTTTGGCCTTGCTACTAAAGTGACCCCAGGGCAGAAGCTGAGGGATTTTTGTGGCACTCTGCTCTACTGTGCCCCGGAACTGTTGTTAGAGAAGGCCTATGATGGCTGCGCCGCAGATATATGGAGTTTAGGTGTCCTCCTCTTCCTCATGGTGGTCGGGCGCTTTCCCTTCCGGGCTAGCTCTTCTGAAGGTGTTAGGCGTCAAATCCTGGTTGCAAACTTCAGAATACCTGAGCATGTTTCCAGAGATATTTTCAATGTCATCGTCGAAATGCTGATGATCAACCCGGACAGGAGGCCCACCATTGACCAAATCATGACGCGCCCCATAATAAGGGACAGCAAGGTACGTACACCACCTATGTCCACACAGGAACGCCCTGGCACCGTGAGCCCTGGCATTATCAGCACCATGAAAGTCATGGGGTATAAGTCTGAGGAAATCATTGATTCTCTGAGAGACCAAAATTACAACCAGGTGATGGCCACTTACCTGATTCTCCAACACCAGTCTCCTGGGGGAGACTGCGGCCAACACCAGGTGAAAACCATGCAGCCAGGCAATGTCCTCAACCTTGCAGATCTTCAGGCCTTCCCTGTGCCGCTAAGGAGAGCTACTGAGCCTGCTGCCCTGAAGTTCACATTGCCATCTAAGTCCCAGGAGAAGGAAGAAAGGAAGAATGCTAGGCAGGGTGGCACATGGCATAGCATGCCTGCCACCCTGTGCTGCCAGTCACAGAAGACCTACCGTTCCCACCTACTCTACCAAAACCATCATCGAGCTCATTACCTCATGTGCAGCAGTGAGGAAATGAGTGAGTATTTCTCTTTTTCCAAGATCCCGTCAAGTGGCAGCCTGATGTCCAGTGTCCAGGCATCTCTCTTAATGTACACTGCTCCTTCTAGTCTGGGCCACAATGAAACCACACATGACAGAGACAACATATCTTCCGGCAGTTACCAAGAGGAACTCTGGAGCTCCATGGAGACAGCTCAGAGTGTCACCCCCAGGGGCTCCTTTTCTGGGGATATGTTTTATGTAGACACCATCACACAAGAAGAAGAAATTGGTGAGGAAGTGAATATCATAGAGGAAAAGGCCATGAATGAGAAAGATACCATCACACAAGAAACAAAAATAACCCAGGAAGAGTCTGACACAGAGGAAGTGACCATAACCCAGGTAGAAGTTATCACAGAGGAAGCAACAATAGCCCAGGAAGTGTCTGTAACAAAGGAGGTGACCATAACCAAGGAAGAAGCCATAACACATGAACCAACCATAATCCAGGAAGAGGACATGGCACTTGAGGTGACCATGACTCTGGCGGAGACGAGGACAAAGGAAGTGACCCAACCATAATCCAGGAAGAGGACATGGCACATGAAGTGACCATGACTCTGGAGGAGACCAGGACAAAGGAAGTGACCATGGCCGATGGAGTGAGCATGACTCAGACTGAGTCCATCACAGAGGAAGATATCATTCGGGAAGCAACAATCACAATGGAAGAGACACTGGCCAAGTTAGTGACCCTGACTCAGGAACGCACCATCACACAGGAGGAGGCCATCACCCATGGCCAGCCTGAGGATGCTCTGACTCAGGAACGCACCATCACTCAGGAAGAGGCCATCACCCCTGGTCAGCCTGAGGATGCTCTGACTCGGGAACGCACCATCACAGAGGAGGAG